TGATGTTTCTAAGCGTTTTGCTGAAGCTGCTCTCAGGCACCCCTCTTCATCACTCCCTCCAGAAAGGGTTGCTAGCCTTAACTTCAGCTGGTGCAAAACATCTGACTGTCATCGAACTTCAGCCATCGGATCCTTCAAAGTGGAACTTCGAACTGTTTTTAGAGAAAACACCAAGTATTGGCTTATTAAAGTGAATTTTCCCAGCAGTGGTTTTTGGACAGAAAAAATCATAACTCATATCATTGTGGAAGTTATTTATTTTCAGAATTTAAAAATTAAATTGAAGAAAAACTGCTCCTCAGTCCTCCCATGAAAATCAGTTTGCCTGCCCTCCAAGTCATGAGGAAATGCAAGGCTGAGATTTCTGCAGCAATAATTGGAGACTCACGCTGGGCTGGAGAGGCCTGCCTTCGCCCCCTCGCCTGCACTGACCCTTTGGAGGGGGTCCACACTGCGGTGCGCTGAACCTGACCCAAGACGGAACATGAAACCACATGTGCCGTGACTTAGGATTTCTGAGTAGACAGTATTCGTTTGATTTTCTACAGAAATAATGTAAATTATTCTTTAGGTTTTGAAAAAGCACTCATAATGCAATATGTGAATAATCAGTGGAGTTTATTTTTTCCCCTACTGTTTCACAGTTAGCCTTTGTCTAACTGCACATAGTTCTAACTTGGTTTTGTATATGAAAGGGACCCTCAATCTGGCCTTAACACACTAAGAAGGGCTTTGGACCCCTGAAAGGGGAGAGTTGCCTCTGGGAGTGGCTCCAGCCCTGTGCAGCATTGTTGGTCTGTGGATAGCAAGGTTGCTTTACCTAGTTTTCTCTTGGAGCATCTCTGAAAGCTCTCCCCACACTTGACTTGTCACAGTTCTTGTTTCACCCTGAGCTTGTAGTTTTAGTCAAGGGCTTTCTTCACCTACCCTGGATGCAAAGGCATGTTGGGAAAGGGGTGGATATTGGGGAGTAGGCGAGGGGATGGGTTTGAGATGGAGGTTGGGAAGAAAACAGATTAGAGGATCAGACACGAAAGTCCATGGTCCCAGCAAGATTGTTAACAGAAGGGAGCCTGCTGAGCCTGGAGAGAGGAAAGAAGGTTGATCAGCTTGCTGGAAACAATATTTAGCTTTTTCTTTTTTTTATTATTTTTTTCTAATTTATTTTTATTTTTTTTTGGAGGTGGGTGGAGGGAATAAAGACAGGAAGGTAGGAATAAGTTTGAGAAGGGATAGTGTCTTCTTTGGCGAAGGACTATTGGCTTGCCTTAGAGTCTGTGCTTTGGTGTCCAGTGAGCCCATCATAATCTGCTTGTGTATGAATCCAAGGGGTGTGGCATCACTGTTGTAGCTTTCTGTTTGGAGGCCATCGGTAAGTAGCAGCCCTTCCTCCTGTTGGAGTTTTTCCAGCCAGCCATTACTTTTGGACAGCAGTGGGACAGGCACAACAATACAAGTGGGCTGGGGCTTTCTCTTTCCTTTCAGTTCATTTTTGGCCCTGCTGGGAATTAGGAGTCAATCACCAAGCCCCAGGACAGTGTTATTTCTTCTGCATGATGTATGGTGGACTCCCTTTGCTGACTTGCGCAGTGATACTGAGAAAATAAGTGAACAGAAACGTCGCAGGTGGGACCGCACGTGACCTAGTGAGAGACCTCACTCTTCTCCAGGAGTGGGGGGTGGTTCAGGGTACACCTCTGTCTCGAGGTCCCCAGGATTCCCGGGTCCCAGGGGTAGGGACTGACTTTAGCACAAGGTAACATGTGCCAATGCTGTTTGTGAAATGTATGGTCTTTCTAAATGACTATTGGATTTGTTTGGGGTTTTTGCTTAAGTTTTGAACCAAATCCTAGAGCCAGCTGATATTTAATAATCCAGAGGATAGAATAATCATGTATCAATAAATGGAGGTTCCTCCTTATGATGTGTGCTAGATTTTGGAAGATGTAAAATATTTGACTCCCCCCCCTTTTTTTGACTTTGTATTTTGCTGCATGTTTCCTTCATTTTTAATCAATAAAGAGTAAACTGTCTGGTGGTGTAAGGAATCTTTTCTTTAGTGGCAGTAGTGGGGAGTAGCAGTACTAACTTTAATTTTTCATGCAAATGCAGAAAAGCCAAAGTACACATAAACCAAAAAAATGTGTGTATTGATCTACAAGTTAGAACAGCTTAAAGTCTTTGTACAAATGGGGAAACTGAAATCCCATTGGGGAGAGAGAGAGGATTCACCCAAGGAAATTTGACCAGGCGGGACAGAGAATTCCTTATGTTGATCTTTTCTGACTGATTCTGCTTGTGGATTTGGGCAGGGGAAAGATGCTTGATTCAAGCTCTTGGGAGTTTCTTTTGGAAAGTTCAGAACAGGGCTGAACGCATCTCCATTTGGCTTCAGTATTGCAATGGTGGGATTTCATGGAGAATTCTAGGCCCCCCTGTATTCCTCCACCTTCTGGATAAGTAATCTCCCTGATCATAATTCCTTCCCAACAGAAGATGGCCTTTGATCAACCATAGGACTGCTTGTGGGTCTTGGTAATCCAGAGCTCAAGCCCTGGATCCTTGGAGTTGGCAATTTCAGCTCTGATTGATTTGCTTTTAAGATAAGCAGGTCATAAAAGTAGATTCTTGACTATTGTGTGGACAGAGAAGGTGTTGGTTATTCAAAAGTGACCATGGCGTATGTGGGGACATGTGGGCACAGCAAGAGTAGATGGCACCCCTCCACTTGCCCATTCTTTCTCACATGATCAGATCTTGTCAGGAGGCCTGATTCCCTAGCTCTACCTCTTTAGAGTAGTGATGCTCAGTTCATGGATCCCTTCTTTTGGTCAGCTCATCTACCCCTTTATTTCTTAGAGCAGTGGTAGTTTTGTAGCAAAATAGAACAGCAAGTATACTGAGTTCCCATATACCCCTTAAATCCACACATGCACACACTTCCCCACTGTCAACATCCATACCAGAGTAGTACATTTATTGCAGTCAATGAACCTACATTGAAAAGTTACTATCACTCAAAGTCCACAGTTCACTCTTCCTGTTGTGCATTCTATGGGTTTAGACAAATGTATAGTGATATGTGTCCATCATTACAGCATCATACAGAATAGGTCACTGCCCTAAAGTCCTCTGCATTCTGCCTGTTCATTCCTCTCTCCCTCTAGTCCCTGGCAACTGCTGATCTCTTTACTGTCTCCATGCTTTAGCCTTTCCCAGAGTGTCATATAGTTAGAATCATACAGTATGTGGCCTTTTCAGAATGGCTTCCTTCACTTAGTCATATGCATTTAAGGTTTCTCCATGTCTTTTCATGGCCCATTTCTTTTTAGCACTGGATAATGTTCCTTGTCTGGATGTATCACAGTTTATTAATCCATTCACCTAATTGCTTCTGAGTCTGGGCATTTATGGGTAAAACTGCAATAAACATTCATTTTATGTAGATATAAATTTTCATCACCTTTGGGTAAATACCAAGGAACCCAATGGTGAGAGTATGTCCAGTTTTGTGAGAAGCCACCAGCTGTCCTCGAAAGTGGCTGTACCATCTTCACTCCCACCAGTGAGTGAGAGTTTCTGTTCTTTCACATCCTCACCAGCATTTGGTGTTGTTGGTGTTTTAGATTTTGGCTGTCCTAATAGGTGTGTAGTGGCATCACGTTTTAATTTTCGATTCTCTCATGACATGATCTTGAACATGTTTTCCTGGCTTCATACAGTATTATAACACTATTGTGATGAGAGGGGTTTGAACTGGATATGAATTCTTTAGGATGTGGCAGTTGGTGGCATTGGGCGGGTGGAGCATGCTGTGTGATGTTAATGTAAGAAAACATTCAAACCTGTGAAGAATTTTTTGGTGAGTTTATTTGAGTCAAACTGACGACATATTCCGGGGAGCCAAAATCTCAAAGAATTGAAATGATGCTCCAGAGAATGGCAGTTTTGCATCCTGCTTTGTAGATTACAATCAAAGGAGAAGACAGAAGTGGGTTACATGAAATCCACTGGGGATAGATTAGGGAGTGGGGAGAAAGCAAAGTGGGGGAAACCTCTGGAATTGGATTAAAAGTAAAATGATAGCCCAGGCGGGCGTGGCTCAGTCATCAAGCCTCGACCTAGGTTCCAGGAGATCGTGGTTTGATTCCCGATCAGGGTACATGCCCAGTTGCGGGGCTCGATCCCCAGTCGGGGGCGTGTAGGAGGCAACAGATCAATGACTCATCATCGATGTTTCTATTTTTCTCTCCCTCTCCCTTCCTCTCTCTGAGATCAATAAAGATATATTTAAAATAAATAAATAAAAGTAAAATGATAAGACACATACTTTTACGTAGGTGGGTACAGGGTAGTCCACTGTCAACAGTTAACAGGATATCAATAACAATGAGAGGATTGGGTCTCTACCCTGGTGCTCTGAGGGCCTGGAAAAGGGGGAAGTTGCTTTGTTTTGCGAAGGCATGTATTAATCAGGTATGTTATCTCAGGTGCAAAAGAACAAACAGGCTTAGTTAAGGTGAAAATTAACTTTTGTTAGGGAAAAATACTGCCTCAGGACATGACTACCTATCATAAACTGCTTATGTTTAAAAAGTTTTAATTTCAGACCGTCCTTTGTGGTTACTTTAGGTCTCTGAGTTTGCAAGGCCGCCAAGCAGGCCTGCCCTGAGCGGTTCAGGTTTAGTATGTGGCCCCTTTTTGTCCACAATACTATATAACTGGGTAAAGCTCTGCCCGTGGGCTGGGCCTGAGAGGTTTTCTCAGTCAGTGTGATGCACGTGTCTATCACAGTCAATAAAACACCCTCCAATTCCGAAATCCGGAGCGGACTGTTTGTTCCATCTTCTATCCTCCGGGAGCTGAAGTGTGAAGGCGGAGCTGGGCAAGGCTGGGTTAAACATTAATGCAGCTGTTAGAGCCAAGAGGAACCGGGAACCCTGGGCCAAGGTTCATAGCTCTCTGCCAGCCTCAAGTTGAGGATGTAGTGACCAGCAGACATGGCTCAATTTCCCGACATCTTGGCCGAAATAGGCGGCTTCGGTCGCTTTCAGGTGCAGCTGCTGCTGCTGCTGAGTGCCCCCACCTTTCTGTGTCCCTTCTACATGTTCAGCCAGCTCTTTACCACCTTGGAGGAGACCCACTACTGTTCAGTGGCCTGGGTCAAGAACCACACCTTCAACCTGAGCGCTGCTCAGCAGCTGTCCCTGAGCATACCTATGGATGCCGCAGGCAACCCCGAGCCCTGCCTCATGTTCCGGCCACCCCCTGACGGTGCCAGCCTGGAGGACATCCTCAGCCACCGCTTCAATGAGACCCAGCCCTGTGAGGCGGGCTGGGACTATCCTGAAGGCAGGCCCCTGTCCCTAAAGAATGAGGTAGGTTGCCTCTTTGGCTGTCTGTCTACTTGTTTGGGGTCTGTCGGTTCCTCTGTCTTATGCTTTGCCCTCAGTCACTGGTGTCACTCACTGCCTTTGTCTTGCTCCTGTGTCCCTGTGCCTGAATGACTGACCATCGATACGCCTGTTTGTCTCTTTGCCAATTCCCCTTTTTTTCATTTTTTCTCTGCCTCTAGGCCCTCTCTATCCATTTTCTCTGTCTGTCCTATCTGCCCATCTGTCCATTCACCTTTGCCTGTCCTTTTGTCTGTTCTTCTGCCTGTCTGCCTGCCTTCCTGTCCCCTCCTGTTTTTCTGTCTTTATGCCTTTCCGTGTTCTCATCTGTTTGTCTGTTTGCCTTTTGCATTCTAACCTGCCCCTGCATGTACGCCTGCTCGCTGATCTTGCTGTTTCCCTAACTCTTATCTCTTTCCCTGTCCTCTTGGCTGCCTTTCTTTTTTTTTGTCCATTGCTTTTCCAAAGAGAGAGAGAGAGAGAGAGAGAGACATTGATGTGAGAGAGACACATCGAGTGGTTGCCTCCCGCTTGTGGCCTCACCAGGGCCTAGCCTGCAACCAAGGTATGTGCCCTTGGCTGGAATCATACCCGGGACCCTTTGGTCTGCGGGCCGACGCTCTAACCACTGAGCTAAACCTGCTGGGGCTTGTCTGCCTTTCTGATCACTTGCCTTGGGCTTCCTACCTTTTAGCTTTTCTCTCTCTCATGCTTTCAGATCACTACAGCCCTGGGTCTCTCTCTCTCCCTCCCCCTCCTCCTCTTCCCTCCCTCTCTCATCTCTTTACTCCCCCTCACTGACCCCCTCTTCCTCTGTCTCTCTCTCTTTCTTCCTCCACCTGCCCACCTCTGGGATGCTGGGGGACACCAGTGATTCTAGGACTTGTCCTGTTGAATACCGATCATTGTTCTTGCTCAGTTCGTTCTCTTGGAGGGACCCAGACAGAGAAACAGAAAGGTTCCCACTCCTTTCAGATTAAGAAGACCCCTCGGGAAGTATCTAGGCCCAGTCTGTTTCTTCCTAGGTGGCAGGACAGGGCTCAGAGTGGGGATAGGATAGGACTTTGCCAGGGTAACATGATGGGCTGACTGTGGAGCTGGGACTCTCACGTGGGCTCCTGCTGCCCAGTGCCTTGCAGAAGCGGGATGGTGCCGCTCTCACTGTTATGGTGGCAAATCCCCGTGGGCCACCAGGGAAGGTCCCAGACAAACCCTCCCCTGTGGGCGTTCCGGCCGGCCAGGTCAATGACTGGCATCCCGAGTTGGAGCCCTCTTCACCTCTGTGGCATCTGCAACATGCGACCACCACAGGAGGCTGGGTACATCTTGGCACCTCTCCAAGCCACAGTCTTCGCCCCTGCACAGTGGGGATGATAAGCCTTCGTGGGATCAGAATGATGATTTAATGACATAAGGGATGCATAAACTACGGGAGGGAGTGAATGGTGGTCACTGAGCAGGGATGCCAGCATCGGAGCCGTCTGATGGCTTGGCACCCATGCCTTCAGATCACTACAGCTCTGGGTCTGAGGCGTCTGTGTCACCAGCTGTGAGTTTCACTTGCACACGGGCCGTGCTCCCTCAGCCGAAGCAACATTGACTGAGAGCGTCCCACGTGACGCTACTGTGCAAAGAATGTTACATGTTTTAATTCCTTTATTTTTTTTAAATATAGTTTTATTGAACTTGCTTCCAGCTGCCCCCAGACTCACATCTGCCTATGTCTGCCCCAGTTCAACCTTGTTTGTGACCGGAAGTACCTGAAGGAGATGGCGCAGTCCGTGTTCATGGCTGGGCTCCTGGTCGGCTCGCTCATCTTTGGGCCCCTCTCTGACTGGTAGGAACCTGGGCCACCTCATCCCTTCCCTGCCGTGCTCTTAGGCGTCCGGCACAGGGCTGAGTTTCTCCCTCACATGGGGCTCCCAGGTGGGCCTGCGTGTCCTCTGTCACACAAAGAGCCCAGGGCAGGGCTGGTCTCCCTTTCTCCCTTCCCCTCAGAGATTCCCTCCTGGACTGTCCCCTTTGTACTTTAGGATTGGTCGCAAACCCAGTGTCCTGATACAGCTGCTGCTCTTCGCCCTCATCGGCCTGGCCACAGCCTTTGTGCCCAACTTCGAGCTCTACACAGTCATGCGCTTTGCCGCTGCTCTTCCCGTCGCTGGGTTTGCCTTGAGCAGCATCTCGCTACGTGAGTATCTGGCCCTGACGCCTTCAGCCACAGGGTGAGGCCTTGGGGACTGGCCTCGTTCCCCAGACTGCCTGGGGGGGCCTTGTTAGGTACCCACATCTAATGTGGTCACACCTGTGCTTCCTGGGCTGGGACTGAGGCCCACTCCTGACAGGTGGCTTCCCGGGAGACAGGGAGTGATTGAGCCGGGTGTGGCTCGGCCTCAGCATCTCCGTTCACAGTTGCAGAATGGGTGGGGCCCGCTCGGAGGACTCAAGTCATAGTCCTGGTCCAGTGCAGCTTCTCTGTCGGGCAGATGGCCCTCGCAGGACTTGCCTACGGTGTCCGTAACTGGAGGTTCTTCCAGATTGGGGGCACTGCGCCCGCCCTGCTGCTCTTCTTCTACTTCTGGTGAGCAGGTGCTTCCCCGAGCAGGCCCCTGGGTCATCTGTGCTCCCATGGGGTTGGAGCGCTGCGCTCCCATTCATCTCCTGGGATGCTCGGGAGGCCTCTGGGAGAGGGGGCCCCCTAGGGGCGTGGCTTTTAGTGTGCCCTGGGACAGCACCAGGAAGGCTCCGGGGGGCTGGGGCAGCTCTAGGACTCCACGCCCACAGTCACAGCCATTCCTGACCTGCAGGGCTCTGCCGGAATCTGCCCGGTGGCTCCTGACCCGGGGGAGGGTCGAAGAGGCCAAGCAAGTGATTCAGAAGGTGGCCGCTGTCAACAGGCGGAAAGTCTCCCCGGAGCTCCTGAGCCAGGTACTTAGGGCAGGGCCTCTGCCTGCACCATAATCTGACCCACACAGACCATTCTGCTGGCCCCTCACTCAGCGTCTTCCTCCTAGCTGGCCCCGGAGAAGACAGGCCCCTCAGGGAATGCCCTGGATCTGTTCCAACACCCCCAGCTCCGGAAGGTGACCCTGATTCTCTCCTCCATCTGGTGAGGGCGCTGGGGCCCATGCCCCTCCCTGGTGTGTGTCAGCGGGATGCGGGATGGTGGCTCCCTGGCTGGGATGGGCTGTATGGGAATGAATGGGTCTCTCCCTGTCTGTGCTACTGTTTCCTGTGTGACTTCTGGCCAAGACAGGCTCTGTCTCTGAGTGTGATGATGTCTCATCACCCAGAAGTGATAGAAGGACCCTCGGATACTTTGTAGGTTTGTAGACAGTCTGGGGTACTTTGGCCTGAGCCTCCTGGTGGGGGACTTTGGCCTGGACATCTACCTGACGCAGCTAATCTTCGGAGCTGTTGAGGTGCCCGCCCGCTACTCCAGCATCTTCTTGATGCAGTGGTTGGGCCGCAAGTGGAGCCAAATGGGGACTCTGGCCCTGGGTGGCCTCATGTGCATCATCATCATCTTCGTCCCAGCAGGTACCAGGACTGGCTTTCCCCGGGCCCCACCCACTCTCACTCACCTGTGGCTAGAGGCCCATTTCTTCTCTTTCCAGAGTGAGGGCTTCCCTGGGGTTCAGGTACAGAAAGGGTGGGCAGGGCAGGGAGCAGGGCCCAGGTGATGGGCTGTCTGTCCTCCGTGTGGCTGACCAGCATCCTTCACCAGATCTGCCTGTAGTGAGCACTGTGCTGGCCATTGTGGGGAAGTTCGCCATATCTGCTGGATTTTCAATCTCCTATGTCTACTCTGTTGAGCTCTTCCCCACCATCATCAGGTAAGGGCTGCTGGTGCAAATCCTGCCCCTCTGCTCCCAAGACCCTGATTTTGGCCATCTCTCCCCCAACCTCACCGCCTTTCCACAAATAGCTTTTGAGGCTGGCTCTGGGGCAGTGGTGCTGGGTGGGATCCAGGATAACTACAATGTAGTCCAAACCCCAGGTTGTCCCCAGGCTGGTGGAGGACAGACAGAGAAGTAAGCCATGCCCTGGCCCCATCAGGACTGCACTATGGAATAAGTCTAAGAATGAATGGCTCAGGCCCAGCTGGTGTGGTCCAATGGTTGAGCATCAACCCATGAACCAAGAGGTCACTGATTCCATTCCCGGTCAGGGCACATGCTCGGGCTGTGGGCTCAACCCAGTAGGAGATGTGCAGGAGGCAGCTGATCGATAATGTTTCTCTCTCATTGATGTTTCTATTTCTCTATTCCTCTCCTTCTCTCTCTAAAAAATCAATAAAAACATTAAAAAAAAAGAAAAGAATGAATGGCTCAGAAGGAGCCATCAGGTGGGGGAAAGGCATATTTAGGAGGTGCAGCCTTCCACCTGAAACTGGATAGACGAGCAGGAGGGCAGCGGCTGACAGAGAGGCTGGGAGGTGGCAGAGCGTCGCGCTTGGTTGGACTCTTAAGAAGTTCACTGTGCAGGATGACGGGTGGGCGGGCTGGATGAGCCTGGAGGCCCTGCAGGCCTGGGGGGTCATAAGGGATCTGGGCTCTCCCCAGGAAGTGTGCTGAGGTGGCGCTGTGGCCTGGGTTGAGAGCGGGTCTGCTCAGTGGGTACTGCCCCCCCTCAGGCAGACAGGCATGGGGCTGGTGGCCATCTTCACAAGGATCGCGGGCATCCTCACGCCCCTGGTGATACTGCTGGGCAACTACCACAAGGCCCTCCCGATGGCCATCTACGGCGGCTTCCCCCTTGGGGTCAGCTTACTCTGTGTGCTGCTGCCTGAGACAAGAGGCCAGGCCATGAAGGACACCATCAGGGACCTAGACGAGGGGCCCCAACCACGGTGAGCTGCTTGCTTTCCCTACAGCCGGGAACCCTGGTTTCACATCGTGACCCCCAACTCAGAAGCCAAGCCTCTACCTCACCATTGGTCCATTGTCACGGGAGGGTTTTAGGAACCACAGATATCTGCCTGGCCTTGGGTTAGATCCCCCCTACTTTGGGGAGGGGGAAGGGACACTCCTATGGGACCACTTCCTGGTCAGCCAGTGATGCCTTTTTGCTCCCTCCAGGACTAAGAAGTTAGCGTCCTCCAAAAATGAAATGGGGGCCTCAGAAAGAACTGTGAGCAGCACATACTTCTGATTTCATTCCCCTGGACACGGCTGGGACCTGAGAGTAAGACAGGCTTTGCTGCTGAAGGCAATACTCCAGGACCTAACTCCAGCACCAGCACAGCCTGCCAAGACCATTTCCAGAGGCATCCGGACGGGTCTTTCTCCTTCTAAAACCCTTCTTATCCCTTGAGCCCCACCCCAATACCCTCTTCTGGGCCAGAGTCTTGATCTTAACTTGTTCTCTGAGAGTCTTGTGAGGGGTATGGCTCCCCGGGTCCCCTCAATCTCTGTGGAGCCCAGAGGCAGTGGTAGGTGCTGCTTTTTGTCTCTGTAAACCCTGGTCAGAAGCGTCCAGCAGCTCCCTCCAATACATGGACAGTTGTTACAGTTCTCAGCGCCGAGGTGACGGACAGAAGTTCTGTTTGCTTCTTGCACCCAGTCATGCAGTCCCAAGCTAAAGTCTTCCCTTGGGGGCAGTGAAAAGTTTTTCTTGGCACAATGGGCACCCAGGCTGAAATTGCTAAGGGGAGAAATAAAAGCCCAGAGAGGGGCGGGAAAGGGCCATTTCAAAACTCTAAGATGTGGACACCTGCATCCCTTTGAGGCACATGATCTTTCCTGGAAAGAGACTTAAACAGACCCTCTATTGACACAAGCAAAATGCAAAATTCACCCATTGCCTCTGGACAAGTCTTCAGAGACTTTTCCTTTCTTTAGGGGTTGTGGGCTATTGGGGAGAAAGAGTTTTCTCTGTATATATTCAACGTGCCCTGTGGCTTCCTCTAATCAGTGGGTAGATGTTCGTCTTTGGGCGGTTGCTGATGGGAATCAGCAGCTGAGACCTCGGAGAAGGCATTCGGGCCTGATCTAGACTTTACCCCGAGAAGCCGTGGGCAGCCTGGGCTGGGCTGTGGCTGTTCTCCCTCGGGTATTGGCGAGCACAGAACAGCCCAGACTCAGGGAACATGCCAGCAACGGACCCATTACTCATGTTGTGGTCAGCTTTGTGGGGGCTAGTGCAGGGCTCCCATTTCAGGCTTGGGTGCGAGAGCCCTCCTACTGTGGGCCTCAGGCTTCCCATTTGCAAAGGGATGATTTTATAGGTCTCTTAACACTAATCATCAAGGACTCTAATCTCAGCCGCCCTGCCTGGGCATGAAAGGCAGAGGGCTTCAGCAGTCTGTCCTGGGCCTAAGGGGCAGGAGAGGAGGGCCGCCCTCCATCCTCACACACTGCCAGGCAGGGGGCGGGCTGAGTCCTCCGCCGTGGCCCTGACTCATCCACGCTGGGCTTTTTCTCCCTCCCTGCCCACCCACCCGCTCATCTGTCAGGGGTCCTATGTGCCGGGTCCCACTTTGGGAGCATGGTGAACCCAGAGATGGACAATTCTGGCTGTGAAGCTGCCCCCAGCACCTTGGGAGGATGCCACAGGACAGGAGGTTAGAACACTGGTACCAAACAAGGCAGTGGACCTACGACGACACCCTGAGGCTGGCCATCCAGGCAGAGGACTGCAGGCCAGATGAAGGGAAGGCAGGTATGGGGAAGCTTAGCCGGGGGCAGGGGCTGCCGCCGCAAGGATTTCTAGGAGTTTGAGGAATCAGACCCAGGTGGGCTTGTAAGGGCGTATCATTCATTTTCAGCTTTGTTCTGAGGACAATAAAAGCCGCTGTTTTTCGTGAAGCATGAGAGAGGCTCAGTAAGTTTTATATTTGAAAAATTACTCTGTCTGAAAAATGTGTTGGGAGGGGCCAGAAGTAGAAACAGGGAATCCAGGCAGGGCATCACTACACCACCAAATTAATTGCGAACATTTATGACCTCAGTTGATCCTCACAACATTCCGCTGATGAAATGGGACGATGGCAGTGGAACTGGGAGGAAGCTGGATCTGAGAGCAAGTTAAGAGGTGAAGAGCCTCCAGTTGGTTGCTCCCCTCGCCTGTGCCCTGGGCATACACATTAGCATCTCGGTTTCCTTTGCTTCTACCCAGGAGGAGCCCCCAGCCACTAGGCTCAGTGCCACCCTCCTCAGAGAGACCCCTGAGACTGACCACTATATTGTGCATCTTGTGTTAACTGTGTCACTGTCAAAAGCCTAAGCACCCCCCCACACACACACTTTCCCAGCCACCTCCTCTACTTTGACACTGTCCCCACTGACCTGGCCCTAACCTCACCCAGTTTCAACCACAGTCTCAAACCTGAGTCTCTGAAGCTGCTGCTCCAAATTTAGCAGAAGCCCCCATGTCCTGAGCCCTTTCAGAAGGGCACTCTTATCTCCTGCCCCTTCCTCTGGCCATGCATCCTCTCCATGCCAGGCAGCTGGGGTGCGAGCCTCTTTGCTCCCACTGCTGCTGCTTGACCATGGCAGCCTTCTCACTTGTAAAATCCTCTTCTCATAGAAACCTATTTCTTCCTTGCTCCCACTGCCTGCCCTCCAGCTCACACAGCCTCATTCATCTAAAGCTACCTGGCTCATGGTTGTCCCTTCCACTCCAGCTCCTGCCTTCAGCTTGGGAAAATTCATCTCTACCTCCAACATCTCAAAAATGTCTGACGTATGATTGAACAAAGGAAGGAATCCTCATTCAGGCGTCCCATTCTCTGACCACAGCATTCCAGCCTTCTGAGTCTTTGCTCCATCCTTCCCTTCTGCCTTCACCTGCCCAGGCTGCAATAAGAGAGTACCACAGATAGGTGGCTTTCAACAGAAATTTATTTTCTCACAGTTCTGGAGGCTGGAAGCTCAAAATCAGGGTGCCAGCAGGGTTAGGCTCTGATGAGGGCTCTCTTCGTGACTTGCAGGCAGCTACCTTCCTGCTGTGCTCTCATGTGGTCTTTCCTCTGCATGCAGGTAGAGGGAGAGAGATCTCTCCTTCTTAGAAAGCCACTAATCTCATCCCAAAGGCCCACCCTCATGACCTCATCTAACCCAAATTACCTCCCCGAGGCCTATCTCCAAATATCATTGGGGGTTATGGCTGCAACATAGAAATTTGGGAGGTGTGGGTAGGAAACAGACATTCAGTCCATAACACCATCCTTAGCCTCATCCTAACCCTGTTAGGATGGCCTCTCCACCTCTGTCCTCAGATTTGAGGATGTAAGCCATTGTTTTAATTTCTATTGAAAGATAGACATCGTTTCTTTCTGTGGCCAACATCCTGTACTTTATCCCTTACCCTTTAGTTGTGCCCCAACTTGCAAAACCATAGCAGCCAAAGAACCCAAACATCTACCTTCTCTCTCCCTGCATACCAGACTGCTGGGCCCTGCTGGGCCCTGCTGGAGAGGGTCACATGTCTGCCAAGTCTGTTCTGTGAATTAACAGTCATCAGCCTTAACTGGGCCTTTATTTTAATTTTTTAAAAATATGTTTTTATTGATTTCAGAGAGAGGAAGGGAGAGGGGGAGAGAGAGAGAGAGAGAGAGAGAAACATCAATGAGAAACATCAATCGGATGCCTCCTGCACGCCACCTACTGAGGATTGAGCCCAAAACCCAGGCATGTGCCCTGACCAAGAATTGAACCGGGGACCTCCTGGTGCATGGGATGATGCTCCAACTGAGCCACATGAGCCAGGCTCAACTGAGCCTTTACCTGTGCCCAGCATTCCCACCAGCTTTTTCTAGTCAGCTTGTTTCCCAACTCTCGCCAGTGGCTTTTTCTAACCTCTACTCTGCCTCCCTTCCTTCCAGCTCCTAACAGACAGCTTCTCTGCCTCCTTTCAGAGAAGGAGAATCCATCCTATGGCAACTCCCAAACTTCTCACCACCTAACCTTCTACCTCTGCTGTCACCTCTCCTCCCTCCTGCTGCAGTGACAGACTGTCCTGCACAGAGCTGGTTGTATAGCTACTGGGGCCAGGCCCGAAACTCTGCTCTCAACTATGTCCCCAGGTCTGGGAGCAGCTGCAGGTAGGGCCTGTTCCCCCTCTACCTGTCCTCCCCACCCCACCATAAGCCTGGGGACTGAGGGTGGGTGAGTTGTATCTGGGCAGATGGGAGAGTTTCCCTCAGTGGAGGTGGGACCCTTAAGGGGAGGGCAGGTGCTCGAGGTGCCAGAACAGTCTGCACAAAGGCATGGCGCTGGCTCATGTGGAGACTTTCCCAGCCTGCCTTGCCCCGTTCTGTCCCTGGGGTCTATGGCCCGTTATGCCCCTGGAGTAGAATGCTGCTCCTCACCATTCCTACCCCACCCCAAGGACCCCCCTGCCCCATTGTGACACTACTTCCTGGCCACCAATGGAACCCAAAGGTTCTGCTGCCAGCGGTCTGGCTGGGCCTGGAGTGTGGTCAGGTGGGCCCTGGCTTTGGTCTGTGGTTGTGTCTCCAGGGAGGAGGGACAAGGAGGGTGTGGAGGGTGGCAATGTTGGTGATACCTGGCAAGTGTGGGGTGGTATCCTCAGCACAGATGTGGGCTGGAGCGTGCCAGGACCTGGTCGACTGTGGGGAGTCGGTGGGAGGAGCAGGCTGCCCTCACGGGAAGTGTGAGTTCCCTGTAGCATCTGGCCATTTCCTGCCTCAGCTGCAACGATGCTCTTGGCTATCCTTTTCTTTTCCAGGCCTTAGTTTCTCTTTCGTACACTGAGAACCAATTACCTGGAGCCTGTCCACCTGGCAGGAGACGTGTGGGACCTGTAGAGGGAGAAAGTGCTCCAGGGCCTTGCAGACTGTCAGACCCCTGCGGGTACACAGGTGATGCTGGGGGACACTGAAGGGAGCCCTCAGGGCAATGTGGGTACAGCTGGCTCCAGGCCTGAAAGTCAGATCCCTGTGAGGAGAGCAAAGGTTCCCTCCCCACTTCCAGGGAAATCTCCTCCATCAACCTCCACCCCCTCCAACCTTATACACAAATATATTGCATTAGCTTCCAAAAGCTGCTGTAACAAATCACCACAAACTAAGCGGCTTAAAACAGCACAGATTTATTACATCACAGTTCTGGAATTCAGAAGTCCAAAATGGGTCTCAGTGGGCTCAAGTCGAGATGTCAGGAGGACTGGGCTCCTTTCTGGAGCCTCCAGGGGAGAAGTCATGTTCTTGCCTTTTCCAGCTTCAGCATTCCTTGGCTGCACTATTTTACATCCCCATCAGCACTGCACAAGGTTCCAATTCCTCTCCTTCCTCACCAACACTTGTTTTTTGTTTTGTTGGGGTTTTTAAAATATCCTAATGGGCGTCTTGCACATATTTTGTTAAATTTCTTCCCAGTTCATATTTTCTTAATATTATACTGCCTTTTTTCAGTTTCTCTGTTTTTAAAAATCTTATTAATTTTAAATAATCCTAGAGTGACAAAAAATTGCAAAAATAGCACAGTAGTCCCTCCTGACCCGCACGGGATACGTTCCAAGGCCCCCAGTGGATGCTGAAACCAAGGATAGTACCGAACCTTGAATATGCTGTTCTTTCCTATACATGCCTACCTGTGGTCAAGTTCATGGCTTCTCTTTGGCACATCCAAATTGGCAGCATCGCTACCCTTATGTTTTGGGGCCATCATTAAGTAAAATAAGGGTAAGCACTGCAATGCCATTCCATCTGATAACCAGAATGGCTACCAAGTGACTAATGGGCGGGCAAGACAGTCAGCGTGGATGCCCTGGACAAAGGGGGGGTTCACCAGGCAGGAAGGAGCTGCCCAGCCTGAGATTCATCATGCTACTCAGAGTGGCAGGTGATTGAAAATTTATAAACTGTTTATTTCTGGAATTCTCCATTGCATATTTTTGGACCCCAGTTCACCGCAGGTAACTGAAACACTGGAAAACAAAACCATGGAAAAGGAGGGACTCCTGTGCCCAGAATTCCCACTTATCCTTTCCCCACCTCCCACCAATGTTAGTATCTCACTTAACCAAAGTACAGTGATCTAAACCAGGAAAGTAACATTGATACAATGCTATTAAGTAATTTACAGATCTTACTTGAATTTGGCAAGTTGTCCCACTGATGTTCTTCTCCTGGTCCGGGATCCAGTTTGGGACCCCACACTGCATTTTGTTTTCATGTCTTCACAGTCTCCTTCAACCTGGAAACGTTTCTTAGGCTTCATCTTTGATGCTTTCACACCTTTGAAAAGCACTAGCCAGTTATTTTGTAGAATGGCCCTAAATTTGTTTGCTGTTGTCTCATGACTGTATTAACGTTATGCCTTTTTGGCAAGAACGCCCCAGAAGTGATGATGTGCCCCTCAATGCCCGATGTCACAGAGTACCTGACGTCAGCATGTCCCATTACTGGTGGTTTTAACTTCCATCTCTTGGTTGGAGTGGCGTCTGCCAGGCTCCTTCATTATAAAGTTATGTTCCCCTTGTAATGGATAAGTATCTTGTGGGGAGGTACTCTGAGACTGTGCAAATACATTTCTCCTATTTCCGTCCGAGTTCCATCATTCCTTCTCTATTTATTAATTCGAATTCTACAGTAAGGAAGAGCTGTCCCTTTTCTGCTATTTATGTATTCAGTCATTTATGTCAGCATGGACTCAGATATATTTGTTCTATGGGGTATCTATTACTATCATTACTTATTTTGTTGCCATAATTGTCTCAGATTTGGTCATCAAGGACTCCTTCTGTTTGACTCCTGTGTCCTCTTGACATGCCCTTGTCATTTTGGGAACATTTTCTTACTTTCTGGCACCATAAGACATTCCAAACTCATCTTGTACTTTCCCTGACCCAAAGCTCAAATCCACCACTCCTCCAAAGAACCCTGGTTCTTTTACTTATAAACCAAGATCTGCCCGGCCGGCATGGCTCAGCGGTTGAGCATAGACCTAGGATCCAGGAGATTATGGTTCAAATCCCGGTCAGGGCACATGCCCGGGTTGCAGGCTCGATCCCCAGTAGGGAGCGGGCAGGAGGAAGCCGATCAATGACTCTCATCATTGATGTTTCTGTCTCTCTCTCTCCCTCTCCCTTCCTCTCTCTGAAATCAATAAAAATATTTTTTAAACAAAAAAGAAACCAAGATCCGAGTGCTAGGTGTGATCACTGCTATTCAATGTGATTGCTTTTAATCCATCTCAGTGGACAGAGATAGAAAATACATCTACACATGTATCTACAGCAATATAAAATCATGAGTTCAGTCTACATCTATTGTTTCTTATTTCTGTTGAGCCAGAATGGCGTGCCTTTTCAACCGTTTGATAATCTTTGTTTTGGGCTCTTTGCATGATCTTGATCTGTAAGAGCCTTTCAGGCTTAATGTGCAGAATTTTCCTTCAGAGCATGCTGGCTTCTGCTGGTAGCCAAGGGATGCCCTAACCCAGGACCTCTTCAGTCCTGCTGAGGGTTTTAGCTCAAAACAGGGTTTTAAGCTTAGTTCTCCCCCTCCCCCCACCCCTGCTGCTGCTCCAAGGTAGGGTCCTTATAGTCAGTATGCTACCTTACCCCTCCCCCTTACCTGCTCGGCTTTGGATCTACGCTGCTGTTTGTCATCCGACTATGTTGCCTCGCTGCACCAGCCCTGGCTCCCCACCTCCACGGCCAAGGCTTCCAGCCACCTGGGTTGGCCTTAATTCCTGGCCACTCCTGATCCAGATCGGAGGAGGGGGAGGTTGTGTGTGTGCTTTTTTAAAAGAATGTTCCCTAGAGCTCTAGCCAGTTTGGCTCAGTGGTTAGGCTGAAGGGTCCTGGGTTTGATTCCAGCCAAGGGCACGTACCTCGGTCGCAGGTTCCATCCCCAGCCCGGGTCAGAGCCCGTGTGGGAGGCAACCAATCGATGCATCTCTCTCACATTGATGTTTCTCTCTCCCACTCTCTTTGAAAAGCAATGGGGAAAAATATCCTTGGGTGAGGATTTTTAAAAAAAACAAGTACCCTGGCGAACTCTCCTTTTGCAAGACTGGTTAGTGCCTTGAGGTGTGTAAACAAAGTTTCAGTTACGGGGAAGTCGTAGGAAAACTCCTCAGGACTTAGCACAGCATTTTCTAAAATACGAAAAGCAGGGACAAATTGTGTTAACTAAGAAACTTCAGAAGCAAAGGGGGGAACTACAGTGCACATCAAGGTTGGGATCCAAATTGTTCCAATCCAGAGAAGCCAATTCCTTTTTTTTTTTTTCAAATGTGTCTTTATTGATTTCAGAGAGAGGAAGGGAGAGGGAGAGAGAGAAACATGGATGATGAGAGAGTCATTGATCGGCTGCCTCCTGCATGCCCTCCACCTGGGGGTTGAGCCTGCAACCCGGGCATGTGTCCTGACCGGGAATCGAACTGTGATCTCCTGGATCCTAGGCTGATGCTCAACCACTGAGCCACCCCAGTAGGGCAAGAGAGGCCAATTGCTATCATTGCTCCCACGCCAGCCCCTGCTGTCCAGGCGTGGTGGGCAGAGCCTGAGCTGCACCCTTTCTTCGAACAGATGACAAGTGAAGTCAACGTGGGGGCAGAGCTCCAATCCCAGCCTCGTTCCAGTTACTCACACCAGCAGGAGGCATTAGAACAACCCCATTCCTGGTCACTGGAGATGTTACGAAAGTTGAGGGCCATTGAAATCCATCAGGACGACAAATTTGCCAATATCATGGGCGTGATGGGGGAGTTTGGCACATTCCAGCAGAGGCTGGTGGCGCTAACCTTCATCCCCAACCTCCTGTTGGCCGTCTTCTTGTTTGCCGACGTCTTCACGTTCACAGAGCAGAAGCCCTATTGCAACACCAGCTGGATTCTGGCGGTGGGCCCTAACCTGTCAGAGGCTGAGCAGCTGAATCTGACCCTGCCCAGGGATGCCAACGGCAGTTTCCGGACGTGCCTCATGTACTTGCCCGTCACCTGGGATCTGGATTCTATCATCCAGTTTGGCCTCAACTACACACAGTCGTGCAGCAATGGGTGGATCTATCCTGAGAGCAAGAGGCGATCAGTGGTCGATGAGGTGTGCCTTGTCCTGAGTTGTCTGTAGCTACCACATGGGCCCAGAGATATGCCCTCGCCCTCACCAAACAGGTGGGGAAACTGAGGCTCAGGGAAGGGAAGCAATTGGCCCAAGATCACCTGCAGAAGAAGGGCTGGGGCAGAAACTTAGGATTCCTGCTGCCCAGCCCTGGCCTCACCAGCCTTAGCCAGAAAGCTGGAGTGGATTTGGGGGTAGGGGCAGAGGGCAGATGGCAGGGTTTGCCATCTGTCCAGGGAGTTGCTTCTGTAGTTGTGGTTCTTCCCTCGGAACTCACAGAAGATAAGAAACTGAAGAAAAAATGGGCTTTGATCAGGTATCTCTTATAGGGTTTCTCAGTCTAGATGCAACCTGGACCCTTCAGAGCACAGACCTGCCCATCTGAATCTCTAGGCTGAGGCCAAACATCTGTATTTCGGGGAAGGACTTTAGTGATGCTGGCCCTCACTCAGTGGCCTTCACCCCCATCTTGCCCTGTGCCTCTGGTCCCTCTCTTCAGGCCTAACTCCCAGAGTCTGCCAGATGCAGGACGGAAGGCAGAGGTAACAGAGCTGAGGCCTGCTACCTGTCCCTGTCCCAGGTCCCTTCTGCCTAAAGGCCCACCCTGGAAGGAGGCTCAGTCTCTGGGACCAGAAGGCTGACCCTGGGTGGAGGCCTGTGGCCAATCCCTGTGTATAATCCCCAGTTTGACCTGGTGTGTAACGAGGAACTTAACCTGGAAGCTGTGCACACCACGATCCTGGCAGGCCTCCTGATAGGGTCGCTCATCTTCGGCTTCATAAGTGACAAGTGAGTCTCCCAGAGTTTCTGCTGGTCCCTGGGATGTCTCTGCCTCCTCCTGTGGGCATTCAGAGCCGAGGAGTCTCCAGCTGGGGGAGGCCAGGATAAGGGCACTCTGGAGGCCCATGGATGGCTCAGGACCTGGCCCGGGTGTTGGGTTGGGGCCAGACACGGAGGCCCATGCACGTGGCGCAGCCTCCCCCTGCTGCCCTCAGGCTCGGCCGCTACCCCTCCATAATGCTGTCCATCCTGGAGATGATCATCTTCGGCTTTGGGACAGCCTTCGTCAACAGCTTCCACCAGTACCTGTTCTTCCGCTTCGCGGTGTCCCAGGCGCTGGTGGGCTACAGCATCAGCAGCGTGTCTTTAGGTGAGGCCAGGCTGCATGGGGCTGGCAGGGGGCATAGCGGGGAGATTGCAGGGGCTGGAGGACCTGGGGCGGGACAGAATTGAGACCCAATCTCCCGCCTGCGCAGTAGGAGGAGGAGCCTCAGCTTCAGGCTGCCTGGAGGGGCAGAGAATCTTCCCCAGGCAGCCCTTCCGCTCTCACCCTCCATCCTAACGGCCTCGTACCCCACACATTCCCCTCTCATACCCCTTGGTACCCCACACGGCTTAAGTGTATTGAGCCCTGAAGAACAGCCAAGCCAGCTGCCAAGCCCTTCATATGTATGGCCAGCACTGTTCCGTGGGCACTATTCTAGCATTTCTTTAGCTGAGGATGATACTTGAGCCTCGGGAAGTCAACCAACTTGCTCAGGGTCACACAGCGGTTAAGTGAAGGAGCTGGGATTTCACCCCAGAGCTGTGTGATGGGAAAGCCCCAAGTCCCCCCATGTTCATCCAGCCCTGCAGCTACTGTCTTCTGGTGTGCTCATGGAGCCTGGCCAGAGGGACCTGGGTCCCTCACACGCTAGACCTAAGTGGCCAATGCATGGAGGCACTAAGAGCAAAGACAAGGACAGAGATTCCTTGTCCTTCCCCGCAGCAGCCACATGGTATTGTGTCCAGAACTGGGCCTTCTCAGTGAGACAGATGCATGTGGTCCAGCAGGAGGTGTGCAGGGGGAGCAGCCAGGCTGAGAGGGGCTGGAGGTTATCTATGTGATTGGGAGGTCAGGAAAGGGGCCTAGAGTGTGACTTGGGGGACACAGGGCCACTCTTCTGCTTGGCTTTGGAAGGCTGTCTCTGGACCTGGGGCAGATCATGAGCAGGCAGAAGAACCTGTGCCCAGTCTGAACTGTCCCAAGCAGGGCTGGAGCGTCTCGGAAGGCTGGGTGCAGGGGCAGCCCTGGGGACCCTGAGCTGGCTGTGATTTTTGTCTTCTTGGCCTCTGCACAGCTACTGAGTGGCTGGTGGGTGAGCACCGGGCCCACAGCATCATCCTGGAACACTGCTTTTGTTCTTTGGGGATCATACTCCTGACTGGACTTGCTTACAGCCTTCCCCACTGGCGGCTGCTGTTTCTGGTGGGTGGGGCACCTGTGTTCTACCTCATCTGTTATAGCTGGTAAGTGAAGGGCTACAGGGCATGCACAGGGTTCAGTCCGACGGACTGGAGATTGAGAGGTGTAAAGGATCCTTGAAGGGATGGAGTGGGTGGAATGTTCCCTGGGAGAAAGTACATGTGGCTGAGATGAGAGAGAGCCAGGGGCAGAGCCTCTGGAACCCTAGCGTTAACACCTCCTCAGAGGAGACCCTTAAAGAGATGTCAGAGAGATGGTCAGAAAACCAGAAGGCAATGTGTCGAAAGGCAAGATTCAAGGCCAAGGAATGGTCAGGGTTGAAGGCCAAAAAAAGACCTTGAGATGGCAGGGAGTTGAGGGATGAAGAGGGCCTGAAAAATGGAGCCATCTCAGAATGACTTTTTCACAGTGTTGGGCTGAAATTCCACCTATGAGCATCGGGCTCTAGTAGAGGGTGTAGGCATGGAAGACAGTGCCCTCAGTATGCCTGGGCGGGTGGGGATGACCCCTGAGATAGAAAGTAGAGAGCTCTTAGAGGTGACCAAGGGGAAAGAAACTGTTGGGCAGAGACAGTAAGTGGCCAGGGTGACACCAAGCAGCAGTGAGGCCTGTGTGTGGCTTGGGCAGGGAAAGGGGTGACTGCCAAGGAGGGGCGGAGGACATCTCGAGCTTGATGGTCACCTTCAAGGCCTCCAACATCTGACTGGCCTCATGCTGGAACAGGATGGCCACCACTGAGGTGGGGATGGGGCCCACATGGGTCTCTGGGGCATCTTGGAGTGATAGTTAAGGGAGGGTGTACCGTGCAGGATTCTCCCAGAGTCCCCTCGGTGGCTGATGATGAAGGGGAAGGTAGAAGAGGCCAAGCAGGTGCTGTGCTACGCAGCTGGTGTAAACAAGAAGACCATTCCCTTAAGTCTGTTGAACAAGGTAAGAGGCCTCAGGTCCAGAGTGGGCAGGGCAGGGCAGGGCAGGGCAGGGGGTCGTAGAAGGGCCTCTTCCCTCCACATCCTTTCAGATGGGACCTTGGTCCAGAGGGTGTCCTCAGCCCACTGCTCGAGAAGAACAGTGACAGCAAAATCCAATCCTGTCAGGGGAAGACCAGAGACCAGGCTGCCACTGTGGGGGCAGGTGGGCCTTGTGGGCCCTGTAGGGGTGGGAACAAGCTGGGGTCTCCGCCCTGCCTCTGGCTGCTCCTGTTTGTCCTGTAGCTACAGGTGCCCGGAAAGAAGGTGACTAAGGCCTCAGTCCTGGACTTCTATAACAACAGGCATCTGCGCAAGGTGACCTTGGTGATGGGCTGTGTGTGGTGAGTCCCCAAGGCTGGCCAGCAGGGACTATGAACGCAAGTGCCTGCATGAACTCCGTGAAGGAGTGGGGCGTGGCCCGGCTGCAAGGGAGCAAGGCCTAAGGAGCCCCGCTTGGCCCAGAGCTCCCTGGTCTGTGGGTTTATTTCTCTCCTCTGCCCCCACCCTGGCTCCCTCTCCTCTGCTTCTGTCTTCGCCTCGCCCCCTCTGCGCGTGTCTGCGCCCCTCTCGCGTGCCCTCTGAGTGTTTCCCTCCCGCCTCGATTCTAGGTTTACTGTCGGCCAGAGCTGTTACACGCTGAGCTTGAAGATGAGGCACTATGGCTTGAACCTCTACCTCAGCCAGATAATCCCTCCCATGATGGAGGTGCCCGCCCGGCTGTGCTGCATCTTTCTGCTTGAGCAGTTCGGGAGGAAGTGGAGCCTGGCTGGGACCCTCTTCCAAGGCACCATCATGAACTTGCTTATCCTTGTATTCCCCTCAGGTACAGCCCACCCACCCTGTGCCTTCTGCCAAACCCCTCCCTCATGCCCCCTGCCCTGTCCCACCCACAGGACACCCTGGGGGTCAGCCTCCTGCTCCCATAGCCCACCCTCCCTACAGAGGCCCTGGCACCTCCGGACCAGGCACCGCTTGCTAGGTTACTGCCCTTCCTGGGGGAAGGGGTCGCCCAGACTGGGTGCTCACAGCTCTCAGAGGCCCGGGAGAGGGCAAGCTGTCC